TGCAACTAACAAGGACATCTTGTTGAAGATATATTCTATGAAGAAGTGGCTGGAAGCCTCCGGAATCTGAAGAAACCCTTCCGCATTCTTTGGAATGGTACTTGCCATCAGTGTGTTCCTGCCATGCTTTAGTGCTGTTGGTTTGGCTAAGCAGGAATTATCATTCTGGAAAGTTCTGTCCTGATACTATGATACTGGTTGGAGTTCTTCACAGGGGGAAATCTGCAAGGGAAAATGGCTGTCGTCGTTTTACTGAATGTCACTGTAGGTCTGAAGCTGTGGTTACAGCTCAGTTGTAGGATATCAGTCAGTCAAGGTCACTCTACAGCACTGAAGGAGAGAAAATTTAGCTGTGAGTTCCTAACCACTCAGGTTTCCCCTGTTAGATAGCTGGTTCTCCGTATCAACTGCCTTGCGTGCTGAGCCACAGGGACCGGAGGCGCACCTACAGATGCATTCCTGGGAACTTACAGGGTAGCGGGATCTCAGGGGCAGCAAACTTACATATCCCTCCACCTTCCCCTGAGATAGATAGAATTTTCAACTCGCTTTTAAAGTCTAATTTTTCTTCTCCACTTGTATGAGACCTGATTTCTGTAATAAATTATTTTGTTCCTGAATACTGGCAGGGTTTCTCCTCTGGCTGTATGTTAGTTAAGTCGAACATAGTATTTGTTCCATCACTGATGCTGCCAAATGGGTATGGATTAACCATGGCCCAGCCATGTGTTTTGTCAAGAGTCAAAACATGCTGTGGTTCCTGATTTCTTCTAGAACATCTCAGTGTTGTTCTCCTTATCTGTTAGTATCTTAATATCTCTGGGAACCACCGATAAAGAAGTAATATTCAAAGTCCAGAGATCACTGGATTGTAGAACAGACAACAAGCCATGGACACTGGGGGTCTGATGGCCCTGAAAGGTGGTCTACACCCTCATGCATGCCGTCAGTAATTAAAGGCAAGGAATAAAGCAGGGTTCTGAGTTAACTTACACAGAAAGACTATAAAATGAAAACACTGACTATAGTGTATTTGCACAGGGAAGTGTCTCTAAATACTAGCAAAAAGACAATACTTCTATGTTACGAGTAGTTTTCCCGCCAGCCTGGCCCCACAGCTGCGCCAGCCCCAAGTAACACACAGAGACGTTGTGTTAGATATAAAGCTGTTGGCCTGTTACTAGCGTTTCTTATTGGCTAGATATCTCTTAAACATTTCTATCAATCTAAGTGTTTTCACATGGTCTTATCTTACCGGAGGGGCTGGACCTCTGTTTTCTTGGTCCTACACGTTGACTCTCCTCCTACCTCTCCCTGAATCCCCCTTGCCTCCTAGTCTAGCCTATCTTGCTTTTCTATTGGCCAACAGTGCTTTATTCATTAACCAATAAGAGAAACATGTTTACAGAATGACATCTCCCGTCACTTCTAGTCAGACAGAGCTACACTTTTAACTATCGCTAATATTAAGAACCAAAGAGGGAATAAAAGTGCTACTCTCAAGTTCACATACACTCCAGGAGAAGCACAAAGATAAGATTAATGTCAGGCTTTGTTACTGTGATGAAAATTTTATGGTTGACGATCATAAAGTATAAGTAGAGCATGTATTTTTAGAAGGGGACAATGGAATGAGATGAATTTAATCAAAAGCAGTAGGAAAAGTCAGGGAGTTAAGGGGGAAATGTGAGAAAATAACTGTGTAAAACAAATGAAAGTAAATCCAAATATATTATCCGTTATGTATTACGGAATGCTAATACATTGCAATAGTGGGCTGAACATTCTAGTTGCAGAAAATGTGAGTCTAAACATGCATTATGTAATGCTTAAGGAATATTCTCCTAAAGAATGAGAACACACTAATCAAGGAAATATACATGAAAACACAGCAGGATGCTATCTTATTCGTGATCATGATTATAAAAGTGAGTATGAGGGGCTGGACAGAGTTTCAGGCTTGTGAGCCCTGGCTGCCAGGCTTCCAAAGGACCCTCGCACCTCTCTGAAACTCCAGACCCTGGGGGATTCGCCACCTTCTTCTGGCCATCACAGAAAGTTTGGACTCTCTTTCTGGTAAAATAAGAACACGTGGAGATACTTAGATTAATAGAACTGGGTTAATATTCAAGACAGAGCTAGTCAATAAGGAATGCTAGTAACAGGCCAATAGCTTTATGTCTAACACAGTGTCTCTGCGTGTTATTTGGGGCTGATGCAGCTGTGGGACCAGAATGGCGGGAAAACTGCTCCTAACACTGCTCTTACAATCTTTCTGCCCTATTTTCCAAGATAGTCCCTGAGCCTTGGGATCATCTAAGCTCTGTACATGAGGCATAGAATACATATCACCAACCACGCAGTTCTAAAACAACTAGACAGATTCATCCACATCAATATATCGAAGTAGCCACACCTATGTCAAGGTACGGACGATTTTTAGAGTTCCAAAGCTTCCTTATCCCATCTAAGACAAACACATACTCTAGCCAAAGGAAAGCACTGTTCTGACTTCCACAGAACACATTCATCTTTCTGTATTCTTTCTAATTAGTTTCTAGCCATATCTGATCTTTTTAAAAAGTGACTTTCATCCATTCACCAAGTGTACCTTAATCCACTTATGCATTCTATTGCTGATGACTACATTTTCCAAACTTGAGGCCATCGTGAAGAAAGGGTACTACTTTATCATGTTACACTAGCAAACACCATTGTAGCTCAGGTTACCGCTCCTGTCTGGTCTTTGTTTGCTTTTCTCCTGTTACTTTTGTGAGTAAGAGTGTTTATTTTGTGCCATTGTAAGCTGATGTGTGTAACCTGTTTAGCTTTGGTTTGGGGGGGGTTGTCACAGGTAAACAAACAGGTTGGATTTCAGGGGATGCTTTGAATTTTGGATCTTTGAACTGTTGAGACTTTCAAGACCTGGATTACTGAAGTCACACCTAACAGATTTTACATCACAAGAAAAGCGTCTGATTGGGGTATTTTGTGGTTGAAATGTGACATGTGTCCTAAGTAGGCTCGTGTGTTGGAATGCTTGGTAGTAGTTCTGTTTGGGGAGACTGTGGTGCCTTTGGGGGTGTGGCCTAGTTAGGGGGAGTTCAGTTGCTGGGGGCAAGCATCAAGGTTTCTTTTCCTTGCCTCTCAGCTCTCTGCTTGCTGATTGATGCCGTAAGAGAAGCTGATGCTGTAATCCCCACAGCTGTAGACCATCATTCTCTATCTGTCAGGCCTTCTCCACCTTAACACAAGGGCACCATCTGAGACTCGAAGCTGTAATCAACCTCTCTCTCTCCAGGTGTTTCTGGCTGGCTGGCATGCCGTTAACTAGATGTTTGGGATTTTGGTCTTTGTATGACTGCCTAAGTTAGCCTTCCACAGTATAAAGGTGAGCAAAACCCAATGCTAAGCCCGTTATTGAGTAAAGAGTTCAAAGGTAGTGGAGAGTCAAGGTGGTGTACTCTACAAAGGTTTTCCAAGAACCGGGATTAATACAGTTAAACCACAGATTTAAAAACACACCAGGAAAACTAGAGGTCTTTGGTATTTCCACTGAAAATTTTAAAGCCCATTTGAATAAGTGATCCAAATCCCAGTTGTATGCTGTGGATAGCAGAGACTGTCACATATTTTGAGGAAGAGAGCTATGCAATCATATAAATGCTTATAAACAAACATAGCCCTAAGAATTAACATTAGGTTTCTCATCCAATTGGGAGATGCTAACATATAAAGGAAAAACACAGAAGACATCAAGGTCACTTGCATAGTTTTATCCACCACCTGTCTGCTCAGCAGTGACTCAGAATTCCTCTCCAGTCCCAATCTCTCTTATAAGCACCAGACACAGATTTACATATGCCTCCTACACAGAAACCCAATGAAGGCCACTTACATATTTTCCAGTAGCTTTATTTTTCTGAATTCCCTCTTCTTACCACATCTAGAACAGTATGAGCCTGCCAGCCTTCTTTCCTGACTTCTCATCACAGTTGTTTCAGATTCTTATGCCTGTTTCACATTTGTTCCGTTTGTTCCTAAGAGATGTGTGTGCGTGTGTGTGTGCGTGCACGTGTGTGAGTGTGTGTGTATGTGGGGTGTGTGTGCATGTGTGTGCATTTGGGCATGTATGAGTGTGTGTGCATGAGTGTATGTGTGCATGTGTGTGCATGTGCGTGTGTGTATGGGTGTATGTGTGTTGGTGTGTACTTGTGTGTGTGCGTGGTGTGTGTGTGCATGTGTGTGTGCATTTGTGAGTGTGTGTGTGAGTGTGTGTGTGAGTGTGTGTGCATGTGTGTGCGTCTATGTGTGTGCATGTATGTGTGCGCACGTGCGTGTGTGCATGTGTGTGAGTGTGTGTGCATGTGTGAGTGTGTGTGCATGGTGTGTGCTGTGTATGTGCATGCATGTGTGCATGTGTGTGTGGGCGTGTGTGAGTGTGTGCATGTGAGTGTGTGTGTGTATGCGCACGTGTTCTTTAATCACAGGGGTTAGCCCTTCTGAAGCCCTTCTCGATGTTACCAGGCCAGACTGGCTGCAGCAGTCCCTGGACTCCACCACCTTGGGCTGAAGCACACACACACACACACACACACACACTCACACACGCGCGTGCACACAATACAATCTTTCTGTCCCCTCTGGACTTTTAATGCTCACCAAGCGAAGGAGCAGTTGTCTCTTCCTAGTGTTCAGTAAAGTTATCTAAAAGACTCAACCTCCCCCTTCTCCTTCCGCTGCGCCCTTCTGACTCCTCTCGTTTGTGTGGGATAGATGCATGTCTGCGCACTATGGATAGGTATGCAATGTCAGAAGCCAACTTAGTGGATGAGTTGCGTTTTTCACCAGTCCACAAACAGTACAGAAGGCAGTAAGCCACCACTTTGTTCCAAATGCCTAGCTAAAGTGAAAGGACAGAGGTTGGGGAAGGACCAAGAGCCACCTGGCGGGGGAGCAGAAGTGGGCACATTTGTGCATAGAGAGGAGGCAGCTGAACTTCACTGTGCTATGCTGCTGGCACAGAGGTAGACAGCCATATGGTTCTTCTGGGCAGATGTCACAGTGAGAGGGAACAGTAGTTTCTTCTCTCGAGAGACACTGTAGCCTTCAGAGAGGTCCCCTTTCTGGACATCTTTTTCAGTTATTGAATAGTAGATCAATCTCGGTCCTGTGCCTGGATCCTGTCGGTACCAGTACATGGTGTCATGATTGAAATCCTGTTGACATCCCAAGGTCAGACTCTGCCCTTGCCGTCCGATCAGGAACCTGGGTGTCTGAGTGATGGCACCATGGGTGGTTTCTAGGGAAGAGGAAAAAGAGTGAGTCTGGAAATAGGCATGGAGGGTCTTGATGCGCTGTCCAGAGCAGGGGTATAAGATGTGCACCTGGGGACAGGAACTTACCCCGGAGCCCAGAACTCACCTGCTGCAAGGAGGCAAAGGGCTACCCAGCAGACTGCCTGCTTGCTCATAGTGAGGAAGGGGTTTTCTCTGACTCTTAGCATTAGTTGAAAAAGAAACAAGGAAAGCAGCTTGGCTGGGGGCTTAGCTAAATATAGGGACTAGAGTAGAAGGAAGATTCCTAAGTTGTTCAAAATGGGCTTCCTCTTGTGGCAGAAGGGGAGTGAGACCAGAGAGCGAGGCCCTGGCTCCACCCATCTGGACCAGTCCTGGGAGGAGGGGCTGTTCCTGCTCAGACCAGCCTTCTGCTTGTCATCTTCAGGGTAATGTTGTTTCGGCTGCCTTGGGAGGATTGTAGACCTTTGTGATACATGGTTGCAGCGTTTGCTTTCAGTGTCTTCAATTCTCCTGTGCAGGGTCTCTGGGGGAAGTGTGGAACAGTGTGGCCCAGGAGCCAGCCACACCTAACACCGGTGACATTCTGAACCCATCTTATCTCCGTGCTCACTCTTTGGTGCCCCCTCACCCTCCTCCCTCTTTAAGCCCTTTTCATCCCTACCTGTGTTCTGACGCCTTTCTTAAACGCTCCTTCCTACATTTTCATTTGCAACAGTTCTTTCCTCCACATGTTTTTTTTTTATCTATTTTGATGGTTTTTTTCCTTCATGTCCTTCTTGAGTTCAGTCAATTTCTTTGGTTTCTTTGGGTTTTGCTGCTTTTCTTCTGTATTGACAGGCCTCCCTAGCTGTGTTGTTGGGAGACTCTTTAAAAAGCATTCTTTGCTGTCATCATTGCTAAATCTTCCTAAGTTTCGTGTATGGAATCTGTTGCCTGTTTGTTGTGAGTCCTCCTCATTTGTGTTTCTCTGTAGTTTTGTAGAGTTCTGAGTTTCCGCCCATTTTCCTCTTCTCTTGATTATGTTATTGTCAGAGGACACTCCGTCTTTCTCACGTGGCTTATTATTACTGATGTTCTTGTTATTATTATCCATTACTATTATAATAATCATCATCATTATTTTGGTCTCCCTTAGAAGCAATACTTTTAGAAAACTGTGCATATAATTCATAAACCTTGGGTGGGCAAGATGACTCAGCTGGGAACAGTGAGGTCTGTGCAAGTCTGACTCCCCGAGTTCAATTCCCAGACCCTAGCTATGAACTCCCGTAAGTGTGCTTCGACTCACACTTGTGTGTCTGCTTGGCATGCATGCACGCACATTTATACACACCATTATACGCACAAACACACATTGTTAATAATAATAAAATAAAAATATAAAATAAACAAACCATGTGGCTTGTGCTGTGAATTGTTGGACTTTTACCTTCTCATCCCCTGCACGTCTTCTCGGGTCACCAAGGGGTATCTGTTCCTTCCAGGCAGAAGAACAGACCCACCAAAAACAATTTGAGAAAATCAAGGTGTCTAAAGCATTCAGAACAGTGCCTGATTTATCTTCCAGGCTGGGGATGATGAACTTGTCACGTCTGGTCATCTGAAATGACTCTACACGCGTCTGCCTTCTGACATTAGAAATTACTTTATACAGGCAGATAAAAATAACACCTTGGAGGCCACCACTGGACAAGTAAAGAGAATAAATGAACACACATTCATTGTGGTAGCAAAACTGGAGGTGACACTTCTCAACAGGCAAGACCTGTGGCCTAGAGCACTCTCTTGTGTTCCAAGATTTGTCCAGCCCCACGCCTAACATCACAGCCTACCTTTGTGATTTGTTTTATTTTGGAGACAGGGTCTCATGCAGTTCAGGTTGGAATTGAATTCACTACTTTATTATTACACTTCAAAATGCTTAAACATGTTTTTTTATTTTATTTTATTATCTTGGTTTCATCATCTCTAAGCATATTCCCATTTCCCGACTGCTGCTAGATAGAGGTATTTACAGAAGGCCATGCCTAGATGAACATATTGAGAGCCAGAGGCGTGAAAACAAACGTCACTGGGGTTTAAATGGCCCCGCCTTTCCCCGTTCCTTCCCTCCCACCTCAGCTCGGCAAGGCTTTGATGACACTGAACTTACTAATTTATTTTGCAGTTTGCTATTCTCATTTCTCTACTTACGTCATCCCACTCCAGTTTTATATAAATAAGTTAAACACGAGTATTTAAAAATGCAAATTCTTCCAGTGACCCTTGTCCCCTGAATCTATGCATCTACCTTAGATTATTATTCTCTGTAATCGTGGACACATGCCCATGTTTGAGAGATCTTCCTTTCTTATATTTTTGTTTCCTTCTTAAATAAAAATTATGTCAATATTTGCTTTCTTTTTCCAGGTTCTGTAAAAAAGATGGTTTATAAAATGAGTCACTGTCACACCCAGCTGGAATCTCTATGCTTTGGAGGCACTGGAATGACGGACATAACCATCTTAGCTCTTGGAGTTTACCTTGTACAGCCTTCAAACTCAGATCCTCCAGCTCTGAAGGGAAGCACAGAACCTCTCTTAACCCTGATACTCCAAAGCAGTGAGACTTTTTCTTCTGGTGGAAAAATTCTCAAATTGCCAATCAGATGAATCACCATCAGATAAAGATAAGTATTGTGAGATGATATTACCTCACACCCATTAGGAAAACTATCATCAAAATACCAGACATAACAAGTGTCTGCTGTAGGATGAGCAAGGAGAGCCTCCTCTTCTATCTGTGAAAAGTAGATTGATGTAGCCACTACCAAAACATTGTGGATGTTTCCGAAGAAATTGTAAATATGACTACCAAATGACTAGACAGACACTCACCTGGACATGTGCATGGAGAAAATAATCTGAATATCTCCTGAAATATCTGAGCTCTCCTGCTCATCAGGAAACTGATCATAATAGACAGGATAGTAAATAATTAAGTGTCCATGTATGTAAAATAGAAAAGGAACTGTAGAAAAGTGGTAAGTATATACAACACAGAGTTATTTGATCTGTTATTGACATCCTGAAATTTTCCACAAAATTATTTAATGTGGAAGACATTATACCAAGGGAAATTAATCAGACAGGTGAAAAATACGGTGCATACTCTTCTCATATTTAGAAAGATATTGTCAATATAAAGATCAGTGTTACTGACAGTGGGAAAATGTACTTCAAAATATATAAAGTACAGGTTACTATGATGAATTATGAATGAGTCTTTGGTACTATAGTTAACATCACATCTCCTTTAAGATTCCTATTTAAGTCACTTGGAGTAGAGACTAGACCCTCCCTCCTGCCTCTAGGCTAAGGGAGTATCCCTCCATGGGAAATGTGCTCCCAAAGTCCTTTTGTGTACCAGGGACACATCCTGGTTCCACTAAGGAGGTCCCTTACATGGGAGGGAGGGAGAGGGAGGGAGGGAACTGGGATCGATACATGAATGAGAAAAATAGAAAAAATTAGGACATCTCATCGAAGAAATTAAAAAAATAGAAAAAGAAAAAAGAAGAAAGATTCCTATTTAATAATTTTTTCTACCATTGTCACAAAAATAAAGCAACTCTGTGAACTGATGGGTAAGCATTTGTGTCCCCATCAACCATTACACTCTCTAAACGTGTCCTTTTATTAAGTGTAAACGACAAAACCTATTTAAATAATGCTAAGAAAAAAATGCAAATGTAATGAAAAGAATAGATTGCTTTGTTAACCTAATACTGCCATCTGGTGGAGGAGGCTAGCATGAGGCTTTATGTGTGCTTAAGTTGGTGTGTGGGTGTGTGTACACATGTGTGCGTGCATATGTGGGTACATATGTGCACATATCCTTGAATGTGGTGCAGTAATCAGTGATGACCCTAGCCATGGAAAGAGAAAACTGGTTTTCCAGTTCAAGAAACCATGCAAATGAAGAATGATAATCTTCAATTAAATGAAATGGAAACGATAAAACAAAGTTCATTGTTTAAAAAAAAAAAAAAAAGATGACTTAATCTTCCATGAGAAATTTAAGTAACTTATACTAAAAAAGTATAAATCATTAATTTCCTTTTTGGCATTGTCATTCTCCTTCACTGAGACTCACTGGATTGCTTATCATTTCATCAGCTTTTTGAGGTCTGGGGCCACTGATCTTCTCGAGGACTCAAGGGTCCGATGCCTACCCATTTTGCTACATAACTTGATGCCAAGACAGTCTGCTGCTGCGATGAGCATTTGTCTGCTTCTGTTTCCTAATGGTGGATGCAATGTGGCCAGATGCTTCAAGCTCCTGCCACTGGAATGTCATGGCCACGAAGGCCCCGAACTGTGAGTCAAACAAACCCTTTCTCCCTTGAGCTGCTTCTTTTTGGTTTTTGTTTTGTTTTTTTTTATCACAGCATCAGGAAAAGTTACTAATAGATCATAAATTTAGAGTCAGAAGGATTGAATACAAATCCTTAGGGGAGACATCGTCACAAATCACTCTGCTCTACAAAGAGTAAACATGCTACACCTCCATTCCTAAGCATGTAAGTAAGTGCTAGAATACGAGATACCCCTTAGGCGCTTCCCTGGCCTGCCCAAGTATGTCCACCTCTTTGAACAAGGTGGCCTCTGACGGCTGAAGGGCAAAGAGGCAGGACCAGGAAAGTGGGCAGAAGAAAGAGTATGCTAATGAAACTGCCAAGGAAGCACTTAGAGCCAGGGACCTGGAGGAAAACATGCCCATCAATCCACAGCCAGGACAGTGGCTAAGGAGCATGGAGAGTCTAGTTCTCTCTGACTATCACAGAAACAAAATGCCGGGCATAAAATCTCACCTCTGTCTCTCTGCAGCTCCCCTACTCACACTCCAATGGGTGGGTTGGTCCAGGGCTCCTAGGGATTTGCTAATGCAGCTCTTAGATCAATAGAATCGCCCCCTTTTACAGGACCTGAGAAAGGGGTGTAGCAGCCTAGTCCACCTCGTATCCACCATGGAGGTTAGCATTGGAATTTGTTGATTGGTTGTTATCACCATTTATTGAAAAAACATTATTTGGTGATTTCATTTAGACACACACACACACACACACACACACAATATATATATATATATATATATATATATATATATATATAAAACACCTCCAATGGTCCTTAGATTTTAGCTGCCCCTCCCTCCACACCTCTCCATGTTTGATCCTCTAATTCCAGGCAGCTAACCCCCACCCACCTGTAAGTATCTATTCCATTTCTGCTTCCTAGAGAGGCCCAGTCCCACCCCTGGTCCCTTACCCTCTACCTAACCTCTGTGCTTATGTGGATAGCTTGCTTATCAATGACTTAACAGCTAACAACCACATGTAAGCTAATGCACATTGTGTTTATATTTCAAAGGATGGGAACAAATAAGGACCCACCGCCAGAGAATATGCAGAGCACGAGAGACCTTGGAACACCTAGCCTTAAAGGGTATATCTCCACCATTTAAATGCCTCCTGTCAGGGCGCAGGGAACTCTGAAAAGGAGGGAGTTGAAAGAGTATGAGAGCTGAGAGGATGAAGGACACCCAGGAAAGACCTACAGGTAACAGGGCTGACACACATGTGACCCCAGAGAGGGTGGCAATATGCACAGGGCCTGACCGGTCTACCAGATGGGGTCCGAGGCAGTGGATACACACCCCACAGAAGCTACCTCCAATTGATACCGACTTGCAAAAGAGACCTTAGCTTTCTCTAAGGGAGGCTTACTGGGGAAACAATCCACTCTTAAGGGCAGGCTGCGTACACAGCAATAGACAAACAACACAAAACCAACTTAACAGCATCTTTGGAGGATTTTGGTCAAATAATGTTAAGCCAGGATTTGTTACTGGTGATTGGAGTTTAGTTTATGTTTTGTTTTGTTTCTTCTACCTTTCAAGTTCTTTACATGTATATTATGTCTTCCAGTTTGGGTTTTTTTGTGATACTCTTGTGTGTGCAAATATCTGTATCTGGACGGATCAACAAAATCTGTCAAGTCATTTGGAGTAGGGACTAGGCCCTCCCTCCTGCCTCTAGGCTAAGAGAGTTTCCCTCCATGGGGAATGTGCTCCCAAAGTCCTTTTGTGCACCAGGGATACATCCTGGTTCCACTGTCTGAGGTGCATGGAAGGGAGGGAGGGAGGGAGGATGGAAGAGAGGAAGGGAGGGAGAGGGAACTGGGATTGATATGTAAAATAAAATATATATATATATATATATATATGTTTAAGACATAAAAAACAAATTAAAATACAACAAAACAAAACAAAATATATCTGTGCCTGTTCATCTATATGTATTGTGAATTGCTTGTGCTTTTTCTTTGACTCTTTTTTTTTTCGTTAGTTGTTTTGTCATGTTATGTCTTGTGTGATATATATATATATGTATATGTATATATATATACATATACATATATATATAATTTTTGCAATGCTTTCTAAAGGGAGACAGAAAGAGATGGTTCCAGATGGGAGGAGAAGTAGGGAGAAACCAAGGCATAGAGAGAGGGGAAGCTGTGCTTAGAATATATTGTATGAAAAAAAAATCCAGTTCCAATAAAATATCTTTAAAAGCTCAATATAATTAAAAAGACAAAAAGAGGAATAAAAATGTTACATAGACAGCCACTCGAAGCCCTGCCAGCCTTCTCAACAGTCAAAATGTCTCCGTTCCTCAAGCAATGTACACTAGTTACCGCTGCACAACTGTGACCAAGTAATCTGTTGTAAAATATGTAAGGGAGGAATGATTTATACAGCTCACAGTCACAAAAGAACCAGCCCAGGACAAGCACAGCTTAAATCTCAACATCCAGGAAGCAGCCAGAGGGGGAATTTTACATCCTGGTGAACAGGAATCAGAAGTCATGACAGGGGCCACAGTTGGAAACAACACCCAAGGACATGCCTCCTTCAGCCCAGATCTGTCCACCAGACCCGTCTCTCACAGCCCGCCACTCTACACATTCTATTTAACTTTAGACTTCATCCTTGGCTTAACCCAGTCAGTGACCGAGTCAGAGCCCTTATACCCAAATCATCTACAGAAACACCACTGTCACACCCAGGTATTTCGTAATCACCCGGATATTTCCTAATCCATTCAAGGTGACAATGAAGACAATGGATACCAGAATTTTCCAGAACTGTCACAAGTTCTGTAATCACAGGACAGGAATGAGCATCAGAGCTCAGACCTGTGCCTGACACTAAGAAATGTGCTCAGCCTTATCTTTCCCCAGAGCACTCGCTGCTTTTTATTTCCCCGGTATCATCTAAGTTATCTGGCTTCCTACTCCTCTACCTCTAATAGCTAACTCTTACCTATCTGTGCCCTGGAGTTTTCTCCATCCGCATGTTCTAACGCCGTTGTCACTTTTAATTAAACATGGTGATAACACTGAATTAAATCCAATGAATACATTGTTTCAAATGCCAGACAAGTAATCGGCTTACTGTACATGTTACTGACTTTCCTTGAACTTCAATTAGTAAAACGGGAAGACAACTCAGGTTGCCTTTGTTAGTTTGTTTTATGAAGTAGATAACTAAGGAGTAATACCATGTGTGTGAAGCATGTAGCATAGTACTTCCTAATCAACCCTTCTTACACCACTTCCCTGATCCTTAATGTATCAAGTGTTCCTCTAGGGCACAATTTTTTCAGCTATGGGTTGCAAGACCACATGAGGTAATAGAATGTGAGAAATCATACCAAAAAAAAATAGTAACAGTAAATCATTTCTGAATGTTCAATGAACAAAAGAAAAAATTAAATCACACACAGAGGTAGCCAGGGAGTGGGTGTTTTAATGATTACTCTATCACTATATTTTCTGTTTTTCTTCACAACACCATTATCACCAAGAGTGTTAATTGTAAGAATATATATGTGCCTGTGTGTGTGTGCGTGTGCGTGCGTGCGTGTGTGTGCGTGTGCGTGTGCGTGTGCGTGTGTGTGTGTGTGTGTGTGTGTGTGTGTGTGTTCTCATGTGACTGTTTATAAGGTTATAATGTTACTTTTCAGATCTTGTTTGGCTTGGACAAAGGATCCAGGATCTCTCATCTGTAGTTACCCTTACTCTGAAGTTTTCCTTAGGAATATTCTCCTGAGATTTATCTCCCTTGATGACATGATCATCTACTTACTTTTGACACTTTTTATCATTTATTTTTATTTCATTTTACATTCCAACTGCAGTTCTCCCTCCCTCTCACCCCCCTTCTGCCCCCCCCCTAACCCAGCCCCTGTCCACACCTCCCCGTGGGTAAGGGCTCTCATAGGAGTCAACAAAGTCCAGCACATTAAAGCTGAGTATGGGATCCCATCATAGAGAATGGGTTTCAACAAGCTTGCTTGTATATCAAGGTTATATTCTGGTCCTATTGCCAGGGACCCTCAGATTGTCCAAGCTTCACAACTGTCTCCCACATATGGAGGGCCTAGTTAAGTCCCATGAAGTCTCCACAGCTGTAGGTCCAGAGGTCATGAGTTTCCTTGAGTTTGGTTCAGCTGTCTGTGTTGATTTCTCCATCATGATCTTGACCTCCCTTGCTCATATATTCACTCCTCCTTCTCTTGGACTAGATTCCCAGAGCTCAGCCTGATGCTTGGCTGTGGATCTCTGCATCTGTTTCCATCAATTACTGGATGGAAGGCTCTATGGCGATGGTGGTGACATTCACCAATCTGATTACAGGGGAAGGCCAGTTTGGGTAGCCTCTCCACCACTGCTAAGGCGTCTCAGCTGGAGTCACCCTTGTGGATTCTTGGGAGTTACCCTAGCTCCCGGTGTCTCCCTAACCCCTCAGTGGTTCTCTCTATTAAGCTCTTTGCTTGCTCTCCCACTCCGTCCCTGCCCATCCTTTCCCTGATATCCTCACTCCCTTCACCTCCCCCTTTACCACCCTCCTCACCCCAGTTTACCCAGCAGATCTCATCTATTTCCCTTCCCAGGGTGATGAGCATCCGCTTATATACAGATGCCTGTAAGACATTTATCCCCAAACTCTTCCTTCTCCCAGTATAATGTCTTAATCTTCCTAGTGGTTTCTGTTTAGTCATGTCAACAGCACCTCTTACCCAAGTATGAGCAGGTCAACCAATGCATGGATATTTTCCTCCAAGATAACTTTCTTCTAAAAGATGCTCATCTTGAGGAATAGATAATTTCTCTTTCCCACTAGACATGTAGTTCTTCAGTGACTTGGCTGACTATGTATGGATTGTTTTAGAATACAAAATACATAAAAAAATCTCCAAACACCGAAGATTTGCCTGTTTATAGGATTAGACCTTTATTGTCTTTCATATAACAAGCCTGTGCTTGAAAGAATCCAGCTTAGTTTAAAAAAAAATTGGGTGGAGTATTTTCTTTTTTACCACTGAAGAATTGATCATATCACAAACTGAAGGTTGGGTACATGTGACCACAATCCCACCCTTGAGGTAACTGCCAATGGTTTTGTTGGTTTATGGTCAACTTCTGTCTCTGGATGAGAATTGACAGCCATAAACCCACTTCCTATTGTTGCAAGAAGGGAGGGGGGTTCTACATGAAATACTTGCATCTGGGAAAGAAAAATGTTTATGAACAGAGGGCAGGTGATGTTGTATCCCTGTGTCTCTGCTGCTAGCACAGAGGTACGTGGCAGAATCTCCTAGTCCTGCAGAGCGAATCTCAAGAGAGCAGAAAGAATTGTTGGGCCGGCTGGATTGGAAGTTATCAGAAGTGTCCGCCTCCCTGTTCAATGCTGTATCATAGTAGTAGAGCAGAAACTTTGGTCCTTGGTTTGGCTTGTGATGGTACCAGTACATGGCATTGTGATTCAGATTCTGAGAACAGCTCAAATTCACTGCTTTCCCAACCCTGGCAACCTTGTATCTTGGGCTCTGCATGACCATCGCATCCACACAAGCTACAGAGAGAGAAAAATAGTAAAAAAGAATAGAAAAGAAAAAGAAAAGCCTGGATGAGTTAAGGTGGAGACCAATTTGACATCATGCAATGAAGGGCACAGAACTGAGTACACGGCAGCCTAATTCAAAGATTTCCTTCCTTCTTGGGACTTACCTGCTCCAAGAAGACAGAAGATCACAGGAGGAAGAAGCCTAGGACCCATGAAAGGGCTGGAACAAGAGGAGGGCATTTGTCTGTTCAAACACTTAAGCCTACCTCTTATCCTTGAGGGGTGGAAGTTCTGACAGTCCCTGGTCCCTTATAGGAAGACCTGCCTCTGACTTCACTAGGGTAGGATCACTGCTCATTGCAATAGTGTGCTCAACTTCCTGCTGGTAGGGAAGCCTGGCTCGGCTACCCCAGGTGTACAGCAGAAATTTATCCTCAGTATCATTTACTGCTTCTCGGGGATGATTCCAGGATTTGTTTCTCCTGCATCTGTCTTGTGTTCATCTGGGACTTTCCATCTTGCTGCTAGCTTTTCACGCAGTAGCTTGGAGTCCATCCAGTCATATGTTCTATTTTCCTGATTGCAGACACTTACAGTTATATATGAATAAACTTTCTAGGGACTGTGTTATAAACAGGTAAATCATTCCTAAAAGTTTGGTGTAAATGTGTCAGTGAGTTCCTAGGGCATACCTTTATAGCTGGCATAGGTCACAGGTTCTAGTTTTAAAGATACGTTGTTTCTGAGGAGGGACATTTATTGATTAAAAGCAGTATACAAAGTCCAATAGCGGTATGAGAAAACAAGACCCTGGTCCCTCAGCCTCTTTGTGCCACAGAGAACCCTGTGCTCTGCTTAGCTCTTCTGGACTCCAGTACCCAGCTTCTTTCCAGAGCCATATTCAGATTGATGTAGAATCCCTCTACTGGGTTAAACATAGAAAGCCTAGATGTCCTGGCTCAGGGAAGGCCAGGTGTTTAAAGAAATAACCACCTTTGACTTATTCATATTGCATTCAGTTGTAGCTTTTGCACATTATGGAGAATGATAGATAAGACCTGAAAGCTCTCATTGCTACTTACTCCAAGAAGCAGCCTTTTGTCCTAACTGTCTAATAATACCTATTGTTTGTAACACTGAGACATATTTTAGACTTAATCAAAATTCACGCTGGTGATTGGAGTGTGCTTGAAAGTTCTGGAAAGCTGTGGTGCAACATGGTGACTGTGATGGATCATACTATACTGCATGCTTGGAAAATTGGTAAGAACGCAAGTCTTAACTGTTTTCACACAAAGGAAAAAAGTGAAAAGAAAAAAAAAGGAATTAATGATGGGTATGTTATTTAGCTTTAAGTAGTAACCATATCATAAATGTGTGCACCTCAAAGTGTTCCCTTTGAACATGTATCATTTCTGTCAATCATACCTCAAAATGTTTCGATAATTGAATAAATGAAATAAGAAAAATAAGATGTCCAAGGTAACAGGACTCTAAAGGGAACAGTGCCCTGTGATAGGAGGTGATATGGTAATATCTAGTGTTCACGTTCTCAAATGTCGAAGTATTTAATTAGACTCTCACTGATCACACTTTGCAGTCAAACAATTCACCCATCGGCGCCTGGTTTTCTTGGTAGCTGCAATTTTCTGTTGTAATTGTGAGATTAAAAAATGGAAGAATAAATAGACAGCTTGCTGAGCATTATGGTCACGAATTACATAATATAACAAGAGAAAGAGTACTCTGCATGTTTCCTCTACCTGTAATTTTAAGTAAAAACTTAGGCCTAAAATATAACTATTTGAGAAATCAGTTTCCCCCTATTGTGCTTATTATCCTAAAGAAGGTAATGGGCAAGTTATGGGTAAGAAATGTGTTCCTGGTATTATGAAAAAGTTGAATATTCCCACGTATTCATAGAAAAAAAAATGGAGTGCAGATGGTCAAAATTTCAAACATTCACAATTATAATAGGAAAACAGGATTAGAAAAGTTTGGGAAAATTGAAATTTGAGGTCAGTATACATTATCCATTTTATCTAAGGAAGTAGGAAATGAATTGGGTAAATATTTGAGGCGCTAAATCTGATCAGACTAGGAAAAGTACAAATTATTTTAATGCAGATCAGGGTGATTAACGAAACCATGGGCAACAGAAGGGAGGGTTAGATGTTTAAAAAGAACTGTTGGATCCAGGTTAATGTAGCTCTACTTATAAGCTACACAAATAATTCCATAGTCAAATTTCTACAACTGAAATTGCTCCTCAAATGCTCTGGATTGGCTGGCACACACCTGGAGACACTGTTAGTCATGTTTCAAATCTTAAAATTCAGACCTGATCTAGGAAAGTTAGCTGTGAGCAAGAAGGATCTGATTACTCCACTCAGACATGGGCATTTTTAAGGCATTTGGAGATGTACACAAGCTACACAAATGTACCCTGGTGTGCCTGGCTCACCCATTTCTGCCCTCATCACTGGGAACCCTACAAACCACCAGTGGATACGTAATGCATCCATCATGTCTTTACTTCCTTCATGGAAGGTTGACAATGTGATTTTGAGAAGGGGTTTGCAGATGTAGGCTGATACTCGGAGTCACAAAGCTTCCAGCCCAGCAGGGCTAGGATCCTGGTGGTTCCCCAGGTAGCATATACTCAAAAACAAAATAAAATGCCAGAAATGCAAACTTTGACTCTGGCATTAGGAAACTCAGGCATTTGGAATTTCTCGAAACCAGAACATCACCACCCACATTTTCTTGGGTACTTAGTGTATTCCAAGAATAAACTCTAGAGTCTAGAGGATGGAGGGCTGTTGCCTCCATTTGAGGAGCATGAAGAGTCACAGTGTCTTGGCATCTAACAAAGAAATACATACCAATGTCCTCTAGGCCCTCCAGGCCTTCAGGGTGGATATATCTCCCAGGCTCCCATCCACGTTTCCCTCCGGCTACAATACTATTCCCCCTGGTCTCTGAAAGTCTCTTGGTGTCATTTTCTTAGTATCTAGCTTCAAAGGCTACTTCCTCATTAAGTCCTTCTCTGAAGAACTTATGTATAGTTTCAAGACTCTCCTCGGGCAAGCCCAACCCCACCTTGCCCATGGTTTCTTTCCCTTTGCTCTGTAGCAGGTGGCATCTTCGAACATACTATTTATTTCATCCATTCATTCCAGCTATTTGTGATTTTTTAAATTTCCCAGCCAATACAATATCCAAATCAAGACATGAGACCTTGCCTTTTTTTTCATGCTATTGGCATACACTGTTTGCAGGACATCTGATCACATTGTGAACCCCAAGACTGTGTTCTTTACTGGAAAACCCTGTTTCTAGCAGTAGTGTGGGTTGCCTCTAGCACATACCTTTAATCCAAGAGTTTAGTGCTTGCACATTGTAAACAGGATTAAATAGCTGGCCTTAGGTCAAGAAAACGGGGGGGGGGTGCAGGAGGGGTTACAGGAGGGCAGATAGGAAGAGACACAGGAAGTAGATGGGAGGGACATTCAGTTTCAGGAGTTGTGTATGAGACAGCATAGCAGGAAGCTTTTTCTGGCACATGAGTGGAGGAGGAAGATCAGCTGGGTGCTTTCTCTGCTGCCCTGAGCTGGCAGATTTTCACCCCAGCATCTTGCTCCCAAGCCTTTATTGATAAAACGGAATGGTTGAGATTTTGTTAAAAAACACAGCAGTGAACTAATTAAAAACAATGACTAGGAGTTTTTGGAGGGGAAGTGATGCCGTAAATGAATCTTGACGAAGGATCTGAGCTTTGCTGGGGCTCACGTAAAGGCGTGGATGAGACTGGACCTCAGAGTTTCACGCTCATTTCAGATTGTTGCTGTTTGAGAAAGGCATTGGATGACTAGATTTGCAAGCAACAATAGTAGGACCTGAGTTGGTCTATTGCTATTTGATGGGACATGCAGGGGTGTATTAGATTTTCTCTGACTTCTTACAGGACATTTCCTTGTATTTCTAGCTCTGAACACAAGGAGATAATCCAGTTCAGCCCCAGGTCCCACACAGCCCATGGCTTTAGACGCATTGGGGCATTAGGGCAGGGTGTAGGGTGGTCTAGTGCTCCCTACAGTGTCTTTTGCTCTATGATTTATTTCAAAAGTCATAGCAACTCTTGTTTCACCCAGTGTTGCCTTTTATTTCCACAAAAGCTATCTCAGTGGGGAGATTGACTCCCATTCATCTATAGACCCCAGCAAGAAGTGAAAGGTCCTTCCAGAGCAATATTGAAGTTCATATTGTTGGAGTTGCCCAAGGATTTCAATGATTATGGGTGCCTTTGGATCAGTTTCGTGTGTGTGTGTGTGTGTGTGTGTGTGTGTGTGTGTGTGTGTGTGTGATGTGTGACTACCCATGGAGGTCATAAAACAGCCTCAGATCCCCTAGAGTTGAAATTATAGGTAGTTATGAGCTGCCGGACATGGGCGATTGAAACAAAACTAGATCCTTACATATATTCATTGCTGAGCCAGCTTCCCCATCCCTAAGAATGTCATTTTCTTTCTACACGGTGACATAAAATTTCATTTCACAAACATGTAAGGCACAGCATGAAGTTTCTGTTTCTCTCTGCTAGCATGTCTTTTTTATCTCTCACCCAAAGGCATGATCAAACATTTAATCTTCTAACTTCATTTCTGGATTTTCAATTGTAATACTTTTTGTTCATGAAGAATGGGAACATTTTGAGGCTCTGATATTAGTGCAAGATATGTAATTCTAGAGCCCTTTGTCCTATCTCTTTAAATCATCCTTAAACTTTCAGTTCACAGCTACGGTGATGCCCACATTTGTCCCCAAGGCATATAGGTTATTATGATTTTAGCTTTTCCTATATATTGGCTTATCAATTGCCCCTTTTAAAAAAGTAAAATCATTTTTACTTTTATATTGCTACTTTTACATTTTAATGTGGTGGTAAATAATGCTTCAAACTTAGGAAGAAAAACAAATACACGAAGTTGAGCCTGATCATTGCTCTGCTCCTGTTTCTTACTCTCCAGCTAACTGGAAATGTATTATGTAATTTTCTCCTTCCTTAGGAAAGTGGATATGAACTTCAACTGGGACCTTTACTGGTTTATTTATTTGTTCCTTTCTTAAGTAAGCTCATATTCCTTGTATTATTTTGTAAAGTATTCACTTTTGGCAGTTTACCTTGCTTATCTCTCCCAGTGAATAAGTATATTTGACCACCTTTCCTTTGACTTCTTTATGCAATCTGAAGATTATATTTAATATATAT